CTTTTCCTAATGCTAAACCTGATCTGAGATCAGCATCTGTACACCACCGTAATAAAAAAAAAAAAAGAGAGAGAGAGAGAAAGAAAAAAAATCACACAGCATACAGGGAGAATAAAAGCACTGGTACCTTTCTAGCTAATTAACTGGAATCCTAGAATAAAAATGATTCAAATACCATAAAATAGGAATAAAAATCCAACAACAATTCTTTATTTTTTCACCCATTTCTCCTCCTTCCGTGATAAAGTCCGCTCCAGCTCCGGGTGGCTGCTCTCGTTCCGGCGACAGATAACGACTGTGATGTGGATAAGATGATGTCGGGGGGGAAATACAGTGTCCCAGAAACGTTCAGAGGGTCGTTAGCCACTACTACGACACCACTAGAGGGGATTGCTGTATATATATTTATATATAGATGGGTAGAGCTGATGACGTAGCTGGGCATTATGGAGGATGGTGAAGGTTTTTTTTTTTTTTTTTTTAATTTTTTTTTTTTTAGAGGCCCTGTTTGGCCAGAGCAGCTGTGACGTCCTCGGCGAGCGTGGCCAGCTGTGGGGACTCGAGCAGGTTGATGCTGCCGGATGACGACATGTGGTGAGGAGACAGACCCGGAGACTGAGTGATGATCTCAGCGCCGTGATCCACGCGAGCCTTCGCTGTCTCACGGAACATCAGCTTGTGGCTCTCGATCTGAGAGGACACGAGTAGCAAGGTTACAATAGGACCATTCAGGTGATCATCTATATAATATAACATATGTAGTTGGATACACACTACTGGCAAAATGTAGGAAAGCAAGCACCGCTTTTAATTTTTGGAAATGAGTCAAAATGGACTAGAAGCATTTGTATAGCTTGAACCTGAAAAATCAGGATCTATGAATTTATATAAATATGCATCATGTCCTCCTGCCACTTTTTTCCAACCCCAAGATCATTTACACCATTTATTTGGTGCATTTGTTAGGAATCTGTGTGTAAACAAACGTGCAATAATGATGCCCTGAGTGAATTAATCCTAGGCTCGATTATTCAGGACAAGTTTGAAACCATCCTAACATGAACTGACCTAGCTATCCTCACAAGTCAGACATCCAGCATTCACTAGAGAGTCTGGTACATTTCATCAGTTACCATATCCAAGAACTTAATAGACGGGTTTAAGACCACCAGTAATTGTTGTTCCACCACTAGATGGCACTATAATTAACGGCTGTACGAAAGGCCCCTGAAAACCTCTCCCTTCATCACATGAATCACTGTTTAATCCTGCAAATGAAAAGGAACAGGTCATAAATTTCCCAAAGTCACAGTCTATCGCACCGTGCTTGGACCCCTTAATCGCTACCTGAGGCTATCTTATGCATTTATAGAGCTATTGAATGTGCTTTTTCAGCACAAACTGGGAAAACAAAAGAAGCTAATTACAGATCAGTGTGTTGAGCCTAAAAGCTTATGGGGTGCATGTTAAAAAATTTCCAGCAATCGAGCTCCAAAGATGACTTTTCTAGGAAAGTCTTATAGGAAAAATTCTTTTGCCATCAGTATAATACAGGACACCACCAGAGAGATTCTTGTATTACAAGTTGTTTTTTTTTACTTGGTATTCTGCATTAACGAAGATAAAGAAATGAAGCTTTACAAAATAAAGCCTGTTACTCAGCAGTATAGTAAGTCTTAAAGGTCGCGCTCACTCACCATCACATTGCCTCCCCCTGGTACATGATGGGCATTATCCAAAGAGCCAACTTTAGCCTGGGCTTTATCCTTAAAGTCCAGTTTTACACTCTCAATGCGCACGTTACCGCCACCTACAGGAATGGAGGCACAAGAAAAATCTTAATGGGTGTTTTATGTCCAAACTGCGATCGTCCACTATTTAAAAATGTTCACAATCCTTGTAAAATAATAAAGTTATAGATGATCTATTAAGACTTCTTTAAGTTTCTAGTTTGAACATTAAATGCCTCTGTAATGACAGACCTAATATTGTCCATCCATCCATCCATTCTCTGTACCGCTTATCCTACACAGGGTTACAGGGTAACCTGGAGCTTATCCCAGGGGGCGGGGCACCCTGGACCGAGTGCCAACCCATCGCAGGGCACAGTCACACACACTCACACACCACTGACAATTTGGAAACGTCAATCAGAGCAAAACGCATGTCTTTGGACTGGGAGCGGAAACCAGAATACCTGGAGGAAACCCCCAATGCGAATACTGTAATATTGTATAATCTAATATTGTTCATTATTCAATTATGATAAAGCTTAGTATTAATCTTTGCATATTTATTTATTTACTTATTTTATATATATATATATATATATATATATATATATATATATATATATATATATATATATATATATATATATATATATATACAGCTGAGCATCCTCCATCCTCTCTGCAAGTTTTTGCAACAAGTAAAAAAAAATACATATATATATATATCAAGTTCAAGTGGAGTTTATCGTCATTTCAGCCATATACAAGTACATAGTGAAACGAAACAACGTTTCTCCAGGACCAAGGTGCTACACAGCTGAGCATCCTCCATCCTCTCTGCAAGTTTTTGCACATGTTTATGCTGCTGCAACTCTTATGTTTACACTATTTCAGCTATTTATATCGTACTCTGTAATATTTGCACTATCGTCACTAGGTCACTTTCAAACAGAACTGTGTACTGTACAAGAGGTACTGGTCGGTGTTGTAGTCATTGTACTGTCTTGTTCTGTCTTGTGCTGTCTGCACATGTTTGCACTTGTGCACTTTATGTATAAATTATGTCGTCCCTGTAGTTCTGTGTTTGTCTTATGTAGCACCTTGGTCCTGGAGAAACGTTGTTTCGTTTCACTATGTACTTGTATATGGCTGAAATGACGATAAACTCCACTTGAACTTGATATATATATATATGTATTTTTTTTTACTTGTTGCAAGCTTGAAATGGTCTTGTTCAATTACCTAATAATTTTGTTTCTTTCTGCAAACGAATGCTTAAAGATAGCAACTTTACTTTTAGAAACAATTTTAGATTATTTTTTTATTTTTTATCATAATCTCATATTAGATTAAGTTATTTTCTGAGTTATGACTTGCTAAGATATCATGTACTGCAATGCAGTTTGTACACCCCTGAAATAAAATTACATTACCTCTTTACATCTATATTTAAATCTTGCTACTTTTAGAATAATTTCCTGGTGGGGCAGCTCTCACAGAAATTTCTACATGTTTACTTACAAATAATTGAATAAATTACATTAATATGCACATAGGACATGCCCCCAACCTTGTACACTCCATCCCTCCTCCAGGTAAACCAATGTTTTGTTGCCTGCATTTGCATATTGGAATATGATTGGCTCTTAGAGTTTATGATTTATTAACACTTTGGCTATCACATGATTTTCAGATTCTCCTGTTTTTAAAGAAACTTAGCAAAACAACTTAGCAACTTAGCAGTAACAATTTTCAGTCTGCGTCCACAGATTATTACATCGGACAGGTTTTGATCATAAAAAGCAACACGTTTATGAACTTTTAATATCATACAAATCCTAAATTAGGTGGTGTTTAAAAAAGGATCATTATAATTAATACTATAAATGAATAGTGAGATGTAAACGTTTGGCAGAACTTTAAGTTATTAGATGCCAGATAATGCACTAATCATTATTATTTGTAATAATGGCATATTGACTATTATAGCTATTAAATTAGCACTGTAGTTTATATTTTTGTTTTCATTGCACCAGCAGGTGGTGCTGTTGTTCTGTGACCCATTAATGAACAATCATAGCAATACGTTACATTGATTTATCAGCATGACATGACCTTTTTCTACGTTTAGGAATGTCCCCCGAATGTCCTTAAACAGCATATCAGTGTGTGTGTGTGTGTGTTTGTGTGTGTGTGTGTTTGTGTGTGTGTCAGTGGATATGTGTGTGATAGCAGATGTGTGTGTCAGTGAATGCGCCAACCTGGCTTGTGGTGGATGTTGTCCAGTGAGCCGCACTTGGATGTCACATGACTGAGATTGAGCTTCTTTGACTGAATTTGTATCTGTGAAAGACAGAAGTTATGTCACGTTGATGCAGAATAGGGCCTTGGCGTCATGTGAAAAAGCGGAGGAGGAAAAGCAGGCTGAGAATCTATCCGGTATGAGGGTGCTTTCATGATATTCAAAACCTGATTTTAAAAAAAACGACAGGTTCTCATTGGACACCAGCAACAGTGCATACGCACGTTTCCACGCATACAACGTTATTTATCAATTTCTTCTAGTGCATGAGGATGCGAGTATATTTACACACGCCCCTGACCATATTTCTGCAGGACTCCCTAGTGGTAGAAAAGTGTAATTGCTGGTCAAACTTATTGCCAATCCTATCAGCAGAACTAACAGAGAAATGACTGATTCTGGTGCTCACGAGGCACAGATAGGTGCCAGAGATGAAATAAAAGTAAAATGGTTACAACACGCATCTAAAGATTGAGTCCTATCATTGATTCCAAAAACAAACAAAAATAAAAGATTACAGTAATGAAGTATTTTTTGTGAATGTTTTTGGTGCAGTAGAAGCCACACATGTAGGCATAAAATGTAAAAGATATACATAACTATTTATTTATTTATTTATTTGTTTGTTTGTTTGTTTGTTTGTTTGTTTATTAGACAAACCACTTGTAAAAGTGACAAATAAATCATTTTTATTTCACTTTACTGTGTGCAACAGCATTCCTACTCCACATCTTCATGGACATTTCAACAAACTCCATCAGGCTATTAGGCTTGTCAAAGGGACACCGTTTACCATATATGGCAATTTAGGGGTGTTTCTTTATGCAAATTAGTGTGGCCATGCACAAGCAAAGCAATTCAAAATGTGTGGTATCCCACGTCCATTGTGTACAGCTGTTATTAAATAAAATCTGTAAGAACACAGCAAAGCGTGAAAAAAGGAATAAAACAGAATAGAATAAGGGTCCTTGGAGGACTAGTGGTTAGGCCACAGTGATCTCAACGCCATGGCCCTGGTTCGATTCCTGGCCAGGGAACCGACCTGCACACAAAAGTGCACTCCCAGTGCCAGTCCCAAACCTGGATAAAATTGGGGAGGGCTGCATCAGGAAGGGCGTCCGGCGTAGAAACTGTGCCATATCAAATATGCGGACCAATGATCCGCTGTGGCGACCCCTAACGGGAGCAGCCGAAAGAACAACAGAATAGAAGAGAAAACTAAAATAAGCTACTCATCCTCAGTTGAATTTAATGTCATATTTACTATCTAGCATCTCACAGATTACTGTCTGATTAGTCTCTCATTTTTTTCAGTGGAAAACGTAAAAATTTGTAAATAAATTTTTTTGACTGAGCTCTCACTGACTCAGAGTGGCTGTTTGGTCGTTTTACATTTACACTGTAATTTTACGGACCATTTGGAAAGGTTTCATAAGCCGTGTTCAGTCATCCTGTAACACTACTGAGAAATGAATAAATCTTAGAGCTGGCCTGTGACACGCTTCAACGTGAACTCAGCCTGACAGAGCACTGAGAAACACACAGGAGACCCGGAGTAACAGCGACTGGCCCCTGATGAAGTGGACACACACACACACACACTCACTGCTGGTGTTTTTCTATCTATCTATCTATCTATCTATCTATCTATCTATCTATCTATCTATCTCTATCTCTTTGTTTGATTAAACACTCGGGTAATTAATTAATTAAAATTTTACACATTATTTTCTATCTTCATATTTATTTGTTTGTTTGTTTATCTATGTATCTAAAGGTTTAATGGATTATTTATTTATTTATTATTCATTTTATTCAATGCCCTCTTTCTATCTTATTAATTGACTGTTTAATGGATTGTTTATGTTATTAGAAATGATAAACCACATAAATGCTAAAGATTTCTTTCTATCTTATTTATTTATTTATTTAATTGTTTAATTGGTTATTTTACTATTATTTATTTTATTAGAAATGATCAATGATCAAAGATAAAGTTTTTTCTACCTTAATTAATTAATTTGCTTGTTGTTTATTGGCTTAACTCTTTAATATTTAATTATTAGTTATTTTATTAGAAATGTATATATATATATTGAACCAATACCACCATGCACAATTTTATGTCTCCTTACACTGTATATAAATAATTAATTTGCTTGTTTGTTTATATGTTTAAACTGTTAAACCGATACCTTCATGTAGGGCTATCTATCTCTGTCTTGATATTTTCTTTCTTTCTAGATTAACTGATGCTCATGACTATGAATTAACAAATAAATGCGTGTATACACAGTAATAAACGACAGCAAGCTTGATGACAAGAAGGGTCTCTGTCTAGGAGTCTCATGTCTAGAAGTGCATGCAGAGAGAGAGAGAGAGAGAGAGAGAGAGAGAGAGAGAGAGAGAGAGAGAGAAGAGGACTGGAAGCAGAGCGGCAGTTCAGATTTCAGCACTTATGACTAAGCGGAAGGAAGACTGCAGTGAATAGAGCAGAATAAACACTCGTCAAACTGTCAGAATGAGAGGAAATAACAGGATGATTCTAAGGAACAGCATGTGTAGACTGCACTGGGTGATAACTGTGCCAGCAGCAGACTGTCTCTGGAAAAGGAGAGAGAGAGAGAGAGAGAGAGAGAGAGAGAGAGAAGTGGAACCAGACAGGGTTTTGCTTCATGAGCTGTACATACATTGACTGCATGGGGCGAATACTTCAGGTTATCCATGGATCCACACTTTGACTGTACATGACTGAAGTCCAGCTTCTTGTTTGAAATTGGAATCTAGAACAATACACACACATGTGCGACTTTTAATGGTGATGGATACACACACACACACACACACACTGTATATGTATTAATAATACGTATAACGCTCTCAGTGAATAGATGAACGCAGTAATGGAAGCTGATAGACTGTTATGGAGCGAGAGGATAAACAGATTCCTGTCTCAGTGGTCACTCCAACTTCACATGACAGCGATGTTAAATGTTATAAAAAGATAAATAGGTAAAAGGCCATGGAGAGATGAAAAGTTTCATCTCAGACAAAATAATTTATTAATTTAGAGTTACACTGACATTTGATGCATTTATAGATAGCATGGATGGATGGATGAGTGAATTCATAGGTGGATGGATTTATTGGTGGATGGATGAATGAATGAATAGGTAGGTGGGTGGATTTATGAATATGGATAGATGTGTGAATACATGGATGGGATGATGGATGGATTTATGGATGGATAAATGAATGAATAGGTAGAATAGGTAGATGGATAGATTTAATTATGATTGGATAGATGGATTTATGAATAGATGGATGGACAGATGGATGGATTGATTGATGCATTTATAGATAGACACGATGGATGGATGGATGGATGGATGGATGCATGGATGGATGGATGGATGAGTGAATTTATAGCTGGATTGATTTACTGATAGATGTATGGATTAATGGATGAGTGAATTTATAGCTGGATGGATGAATGAATAGGTATATGGGTGAATATATGGATAATTATATGGATGGATAGATGGATGGATGGATGAGTGAATTTATGATGGCCACAACTGATGGGTGAAGTAGATGGGAGAACTTGGATGTGAGATTGGATGGATGGATTGATTGATGTATTGCTGGATAGATGGATGAATAGGTAGATGGTGGATTTATGGATGATTGAATGGATGGATGGATGGATCAATAAATAGATGGATAGATTTATGAATGGATTGAATGATGCATTTATAGGTAGACACAATGGATGGATGGTTGGGTGGATGGATGGAAGGATGGTGGATGAATGAATGGATAAATGAATGGATGAATAGAAGAATAAACTAACGGATGGATTGCTGAACAGATGGATAAATGGATGGATTTTCTCTTCTATCTTGTAGAAGCGAAAAGTAAATTTCAGCATTGTGTTTAGTCTTGCGTTGCGCTGCCTCTTTATTGGAATGTATGGACGTATTTATGGATGGATGGATTAAGATATTTATGGATGTATAGATGGATGAATGGATAAATGAATGGGTAAATGAATGGATAAATGTCATTTCAGGAGGAAGAGCGAACTAAAATTCGGCATTGTTCTGAGCCTTATAGAGAACAAAAATATTTGGAGTTCTTGAAAAAAAAGAGAGAGACTGGACTAATTTAGCCTCTAATCAAGCGAGCCAAGTGTGAGTGTAAGCATGCTAAGCTAAATCAGACCACAGACAAATAAAAGCACAAGTGCAAAAAGTTTCGATAACACAAACAAATTGTTCACCGACCAAGAAGAATGCAGTGAAGCCTGTGTATGCTTTACTCATCTCACTGCCCGCGTACTGAGCGAGTTCTATCATTAACACACTGATGGTAATCACATTAAGCAGCCAAGCACACACACACACACACGACAACACAGCCTCATCTCAGTCACAGAACGCCCAGACATTCAGCCCAGAGTGTGTTACAGCATGGTGTCACACCCGATTAGCCCATGTGTGTGTGAGTTCTGCTCCAGAGAGACATTTCCACATGAATGTGTGTCTGCGGCCAGACAGCTTGAGACTGCTGCAGGAGTTACATAACCTTAACCTCCAGCAAACCCAGGGCATCCAGTTCATCAGGCTGACGTCCACATTTACCCAATGTGCACTTTGTTGAGTTTATTCTTACTTATTGCTAGGTTTTTGTTGTTAGTATTAAGGACACTACTGGAGTAAAGCACCAATATAATCTCTTTTAAAGTTCTAGAGCAAAACCGCATTCATGAACGTGAAGCTATGTTTGTTGTTATACAGTATGTACATTTAATCGAAAGTTTAAAAGTTGCCAAAAAGCCACCTAATATGATGCCCAGTAGTGTCCGTCATCCGTCAGACACTGTTGTGTGGCAGAAGAGCAATAATTGTATATCACAGATCATAAACACTGTGAGCAGTAGTGCTAACGTTGGAGAAAGAAAACTGTCCAAGCCGCAGTAATGGACAAAGCTGTCGCATAATACGAATGATGCCTCCTTAATTTTTTAACCATATACATTTATATCTCTATGTATGTAACATGGCACTTTAGCTCTTTGGTGTTGTGTAAATTCTGTACGTACATAGCCATTTCTGGTCCTTTACAGAAACACCATAAGAACATCAGTAACATCTGTATGTATGTTTTTTAAATTTATTTATAATGAACAGTCAGAGTTGTTGTTGTTGTTCTTTTGGCTGCTCCAATTAGGGGTCGCCACAGTGGATCCGCATATTTGATATGGCACAGTTTTTATGCCAAACGACCTTCCTGATGCAATCCTCCCCAATTTTATCTGGGCTTGGGACTGGCACTGACAGTGCAACCACAGTGGCTGGGGTTGGTTCCCTGCCTGGAAATCAAACCCCGGCTGCGGCGGTGAGACCGTCGTGACCTAACCGCTAGCCCTCCAGGGACCATAATGGACAATGCGAGTAAAACACTAAACAAATATTCAACGGTTTCATCCTCCAATGACGCTACTGGACCTACAGAACATGACCAAGTCTAATACATCACTAGAAACCTTATTTCTTGTTCAATGTTATCAGCTCCCTTCTACTGTGACCCGACTGCGCTCTTTGTCTCGGAGTGACTGGTTTCTGTGCACCGCTGTTCTCTTGCTCGTGTCAGACATAAACATGTCACTTCACACACAGAGACGTGCCGCCCGGGGTGAGACCATTACAGCAGGGCTCGTATGAGCTGATCTCCAACGACAGAGTGCTGTTTGTGTCAGAACATCATGCTGAGCCTCCCATGAGGAGAGCGAAGAACATGATAGACTGCGAGATGCATGACAGAAATGCCAAGTGTGTGTCTGTGTGTTTTGGTTTTCCTTCAGTTACCACCATAATCATCCTCTAATAATCAGAAGATCGCTATCTGAACCCATATGTAAATGGTCCCAAAATCAGTTTTAAACAGAAGCACTGAGAACGTCTCCGTCTTAAATGGAATAAATGTGACTGTTGGGCTTTTATATAACTAGAATAAGCCATCCAAGATATGTTCA